GAATACCTGGATGGACATGATGGGTATTTAGCTTCCCCCAGGCGGTGCGGAGACCGTTACCCATAGAGACCACATTCCAATCCTTGACAGAGGAGCTTACCCTTGTTGCTATAGGTTACCGACACAGCCAATTAGATATCATATATGCGAAGGAGAAGAAAAGCTGCGATGGGATTGGCTGCTCTTACTCATGGCGCACATAATAGTATGGAGCACTATAACCTCGCCCGCTCCGGGCCCCGACTCCACCCTCCCCTCGCCCGCTCCGGGCCCCGACTCCACCCTCCCACTAACTACTGGATGCCCAAAGACCTGTCCTTCTGCCAACAGACCACACACCTCGATACATCAGACCCACCTTCTACCGCTAGACCACGCCCACATTAGACCCACCTTCTACCGCTAGACCACGCCCACATTAGACCCACCTTCTACCGCTAGACCACGCCCACATTAGACCCACCTTCTACCGCTAGACCACGCCCACATTAGACCCACTTACTGGTAGACCACGCCCATATTAGACCCACCTACTACCAATAGACCACATCTCCACTCATATCCGGCCACTCACCCATGACACAGCACACCCGGAGACACACTGCACTCCCCTTCCCTAACAATGTACACATAGCAGACCCTCCGACAAGCCGATCTGGGGGGGTCACACACAAAACACTGCACACTCCAAGTGTCCGGTGGACATGCTTTACTCCGTCAGCCCATTTTTAACAAACATTGGATGTTTATTCAGCACCAAAGAATGACCCGGTCCTCCGTGACACGCCATGACACGCCCCACGCGAACGGTACACGGCGGAGACGTCACTCGTGTGGTAATGATTGCAGAACTTACATGGAGTATGTTTACATTGTACAATGGGGGCGGAGTCACACAGATTTCATGTTTCTGGATCTGAGACACAAGACCGGCTGTGCACGCGTTTCCTTACAAGTCCTCGAGGGGCGGGGCCAAGCGTGCGTCTGTGGTAAGGAGGAGGAGCTTCTATACACGGTCACACATGTCCCACAATGTCCTCCGTATGTCCAGCTACCTCGTAGAAGCGGCAATCACGGATTGCAGTTACTCACGCTTCACAAGAACCGCCACGCCAACGGAGCGCCACGCCAGCGGCGCCCCCGATGCGTCCATCAGTCCAGGTGAGATTTCTCTGTCAGGGTCTTCCTCTCGTACTAGAAGGAGATCAAACACATTATCAACACCTTCCTCCCACCCACAGAGATAAACCCCACCCCCCGACAACGACGCGGCCGCCCACCGGGAGTACCGCCAACGACGTCATTTCCTGTCACATGGTACCATCCTCTATATACATTTCCTGTCACAGGGTACTATCCTCTATATACATTTCCTGTCACATGGTACCTTCCTCTATATATATTTCCTGTCACATGGTACCATCCTCTATATACATTTACTGTCACATGGTACTATCCTCTATATACATTTCCTGTCACATGGTACCTTCCTCTATATACATTTCCTGTCACAGGGTACTATCCTCTATATACATTTCCTGTCACATGGTACCTTCCTCTATATATATTTCCTGTCACATGGTATCTTCCTCTATATATATTTCCTGTCACATGGTACTATACTCTATATACATTTCCTGTCACAGGGTACCATCCTCTATATACATTTCCTGTCACATGGTACCATACTCTATATACATTTCCTGTCACAGGTTACTAGCCTCTATATACATTTCCTGTCACATGGTACCTTCCTCTATATATATTTCCTGTCACATGGTACCTTCCTCTATATACATTTCCTGTCACATGGTACCATCCTCTATATACATTTCCTGTCACATGGTACCTTCCTCTATATACATTTCCTGTCACAGGGTACTATCCTCTATATACATTTCCTGTCACATGGTACCTTCCTCTATATATATTTCCTGTCACATGGTATCTTCCTCTATATATATTTCCTGTCACATGGTACTATACTCTATATACATTTCCTGTCACAGGGTACCATCCTCTATATACATTTCCTGTCACATGGTACCATCCTCTATATACATTTCCTGTCACATGGTACCTTCCTCTATATATATTTCCTGTCACATGGTACCATCCTCTATATACATTTCCTGTCACATGGTTCTATCCTCTATATATATTTCCTGTCACATGGTACCATCCTCTATATATATTTCCTGTCACATGGTACCTTCCTCTACATATATTTCCTGTCACATGGTACTATCCTCTATATACATTTCCTGTCACATGGTACCTTCCTCTATATATATTTCCTGTCACATGGTACTATCCTCTATATACATTTCCTGTCACATGGTACTATCCTCTATATACCCTTCACACTCACCATCTCCAGCTGGCGCCCGATATTCCCCATGGTGATCCCTCCAGCAAAGAAGATGCAGGGCAGCCAGGAACGCACGTACAGGAAGTCAGGGGATGTGTATCTGCAGAGACGGTACAGGAAATGCGTCACAATAAAATGCGGCGATGCTCAGA